TATAGGAACAATTTTGTTTACATATTTAGTGTAGTATCTTCATCTACTTTTGGAATGAGAAATCTAACATGGTTTCCGTTGATCATCATCCTGGCTAATCCTCAGATAGAGATTTTTCTCCATCCAAGTGATTGAAATTGTAATAGAGGAGTTGTCCTCGTTATCAGAGTTTTTTGATTTGCGCTTGGCATCATGGCTTGCGAAGTTTGCCACGTGGTTGCACAGTACTTTTGCGATCTCGTGTCTTCTCATTTCGACGAGAGGAAGTTAATGGTTTGTCCAAGCAACTGTTTCTCGAAGTTGCTGAACGCATGCTTTCTTGAGCCATCTCATGGTGAGGAATAGATTGAGGGTAGCTGAAAGCTATTTGTTTTGTTAACAAAATGCATAGCTAAAAAGCTAGTAAAGATCTTTCGAGTGTTTTGAGTTTGAGAGATGAAAGTTATGAGAGAGATTAGAAAGCTATGAAAACTAATCAACGAGAGAGATCACATCAAGGGATCGTAGATCTGGCTCCCGCGGGAGACTACAAAGTGTGATAGAGTAGGTTGTGGTAGTAAACTACGTCTCTCCACGATATAAACGGAACTAACATGAAGTTTTTTAGTGGATATAGCGTGAAGTACTCCACGCTGCTAAATATCGGCGATGTTTCACTATCACCTAGTATGACTAGGCTCATTGAGAACCCTGTATCAATGATATTCACGAGTAGTCATGAGTCGAACTCAAACCCTATCTAGGATCGAGTCGCAATAAGGCTAAGAGCCGTTTGATTAGCGAATCGTTAGGAGAGAAAACTTGATACGTACGCCTTCTAAATAAATCGATGAAAATACTATCGCCATGACTCTAAGCAGAGCAATGTGGAGCACACTTGCTCCTGCCTGGACTGGTACGTCACCGTAGTTAGATTAGAATTTTCAGGGATCAGTCAGTCGGTAGGAGCCAATCAGAGCACATTGCTAGCTAGCTAGTAGCGAGCAATGTGGAGTTCTAGATGTCGCACATATACGGCGAGGTTTATAGGTTATTAGTGCTGGATAGCTATCTTAATATGCCTGCGTGCAAAGAAGCGAACTGTTTCCAGAATAGGGCTCGCAAAATACGTCCGCGGTATCTCATGCACTATGGACTCAACTCCAGTTTAGTCCTGTTGATACCGCAATGCATGACAAATTCACCATGGGAATTGGGCATAGCCAAGAAAGGCCGTGCTATTTGCTGGGTCAACATTCACACCAGCTGTCAGAATACTAGTAACCGCTCAATCATTCTTTTTCGTCTTCTTTTTTGCCACTTTGTCCTCCTCAACTCTGTCAAAATCGCGCTTCAAGTTAGTTCTTACACGTCGCAGGAAGAGTCTCTTTCTCTTCCTGGGTACCGGAGGCTGTGTCAAGGGACCTTCATCACCACTGATTCCACCATTGCCCAAAGGGCTGACCAGTCCTTCGTTGATGCTACTCAGGTTGACCACAGATCTGCTCATGTCATCATCATCCGGTCCCGCTTCGTTGTCTTCTGGTTCATCCTCTTTTTTGTGTTCCTTCTCATACTGTCGCATAGTCTGCCACGGACCCCTGGCAAGACATCCTTCTCCAAAGAAAACTGGAATCTACGCCTGACAATCTCGGGCGTCCAGATCCCTCCACTCTTTTGATTTGCTTCGCACAAATCAGCAAGAAAACCCCTCTTGTTGATGGCCTTGTTGAAGGTCATGAAAATGGCATCCTTGTTTGTCTTGACCAGCATTCGAGAACTGGGGCTTCCATCGGTCCATCTTTTGGTCTCTATTATTCAACAACACAAATGTCAGATAGCACAGAATCAGTACTGAAAAATGATACACGACAATACATACCCGAATCGCAACTAGCCCAACCATATGGAGAGTCGGGAAAGGGGAATCCATCATACGCGGTGAAGCTGGGACCATTGCACCAACTGGCGAACCAGTGGAGAACTGTCAGTCCACCCAAAGTACAGAACAACCAATCAAAAAGGGGGTCCTTCCATCCACAGACTTTTCGAAGGGTTTTCTCCATCGTACGAGTCTGATCAAGATTATCCCACAAGACCAAACTGCAACAGTGAAAGCTTGAGTCATCGCGTTCTCTAGCGTCTTGTTCCACCACCAGAATCTCTTGTCCAGCTTCAACAATGGCACGTTCAGCAGCCCGACCACGCAAATAGGCCTCCCTTGCATCACGTTCAGCAGTGCGACGACGCACAAAGTCTTCGAGTCTTCCAGCTGTTCGCATCATGATGTCACAATCAACAGAAATCTGATTTGTGACCTCACCAGTTGTGCCAAGGAGTGAACGAAATGCATGAATTTTGCCGGCTACGGGGTCAACCAAATCAACAATCAACCTTTTTTCAAGTGAATCGAAGGAATCATTGGCATTCGGTCATTCAAAAATAATGCAAAATTTGGATGCATGCCAATACGTTTCCTCTCAAACCATTTTGGGATGGCGGAGTTGTTGCCCTACCAGCCATCGGATGATCCTTTGCATTTACAATGCCATTCGGTATTTCGTATGGAAATTCGTTCGGACAAATTGAGTGTTACGCCTCGACAACAGGATTTTTTTCTACGTAGCTAGCTAGAATTACGTAATGCGTGCATAGATCGGCTATTATGTTACACGATATTGTCAATGTCGAATTTGTCCAAGAAACCATCATCGTCATAGTCTTTAAAGGAGTCCATTGCTTCCAGCACATCGAAAGACGCTTCCGACAAATCGTCCAAATCCTTGGGATCAACTTTATCCCCTGTACCAACACATTTCACGCGATAAGCGACTGGATCCTTGTAAAACTCATCCACCAGCACAGCGATCAATTTGTCTTTTGTAACCTTGCCATCGTCAAGACAATCCTTCAAGATTCCCAAATAACGGGCTGTGTCTCTCAGAAGTGAAAGCGTTACAGTTCCTCCCACGACTCAGAGTATCCGTGAGTAGATCGAGTCATGCTTTATGAGTCAACACGATGGAACAGAGAACGCTAGCAAGTACACGTTCTCAACAAAACCAAAGGACACGGTAAAATGGAGTATTCGACAGGAGTAAAGCATCCTGCCAACGAACCGTTTCCCGCAGATACCACGTTGACTTCCGTATGAATCAAGATCAACCACCACGATGCATTGATCTAACACGCTATGAACTAGCTTTACTGATCGCATCAATCAAAGCTCACAACACAGATTATGAATTACTAATGCACTACGCTAAAAGCTAGTGTAAAGATCTTTCGAGTGTTTTGAGTTTGAGAGAATGAAAGTTATGAGAGAGATTAGAAAGCTATGAAAACTAATCAATGAGAGAGATCATCATCAAGGGATCGTAGATCTGGTCTCCCGCGGGAGACTATGAAGTGTGATAGAGTAGGTTGCGGTAGTAATCCTACGTATCTCCACGATCCTAAAACGGAACGCGTGGAAGGTTTGTCTAGCATGGATCTAGTAGCGTGGAAGTACTCCACGCTGGCTAAATATCTAGAGCGATGTTTCATCATCAACCTAGTATGACTAGAGCGGTCATTGAGAACCCTGTCTCAAATGACTATTCACGAGAGACTCAGTCATGAGTCGAACTCAAACCCTATCTAGGATCGAGTCGCGAATAAGGCTAAGAGCCGTGTATTGCATTCGCCCCCTGACAAGGGTCACAGAAGGCGCGACAGCAGTCGGACAAGGAGAACATATGATTTAAAGTGCGGGGCACTCTCATGAGATTTGGATGTAGACATGTGCATCGCACGATAGCAATCCTACAAGGGGATCAGGCCTTGTATGGGTGTATATACCTTATGTTCCAAGTCTGGTAGACTGTGCCGCCATTGGCGGTAGCATGTCGGAGCCGTACAGTGCCATTGTCGTTGACTCGGTCTATAGTGCAAGGACCTTTGTACTTTGGCTGACCGTACTTGCGGTGCTGATACTGTTGAATCATCACGGTATCGTTGACATTGTATTGATGAGGGACACGCGTCGCGTTTTCCCTATCGTTGTTTTGTTGGATTAGTCGTTGGCGACGTTCCTTGATGTACTTCCAGTTGGCTTCGAACCGGACGTTGTGAATCGCGTCACGATTGAACACGAGCTGCGCGGGCGTTGCACGCAAGGTGGTATGAATCGTGGCATTCATTGCAAAGCGAACCGCCGTGAGGACTCCATCCCAGGATCCATTCACGAGGTCGTCTTGGCACTTGATGTTTTGAACAGCGATCAAGTTGCGTATGGTCTGATGAGCACGCTCGACCATAGAGTTGGCTTGAGGGTTACGCGTAGTGATGAACTTGCGACGAAGTCCATATTCATCCCGGAGAGTCTTTTCGACCTCTGCGCGGAACTCACGTCCTCTATCCATGATAACCTCAGCAGGCCATGGATACCGAGTAAGCCACGTTTGTTCTAGGACGATGGCTACTTCGTCTGCTGCCTTGGAGCAGATCTCTGCAATCTCGAACCATCCGGTTACGGGATCAATCATTGTCAAGCAATGAAGTGTGCAGGAATTCTTTTTCTTAGGATCCCCGACGTTGTAGGGACCTATCAGGTCAATACATAGTCTTTCCCAAGGGATCTCCTCGCAAGTCTTTGGAGGCATCAATCCCAGCTTACGCGTTTTGGGTTTGTTCATCTGGCAGCTCTGGCAACGCTGACATACGGCCTGCACAGTCTTGCGCAGTCCTTTCCAGGTGTAGTGTTGGCTGATGGTCAGTTCTGTGCGAGTCTCGCCAGGATGCATCAGTACACCATGGTACCATTCGACTAGCTTCTTCTGCATAGTCTTAGGTACGACGATCTTGTCGTCTTTGACTACTAAGTCGTAAGACTTATCCCCTCTGGGGAAAGATTGCTTCTTGTAGTCGTTTGGCTTGTCCCTGAGGAGTTTCTTGATATCGTTGTCGTCCTTCTGACGATGTTCGATCTCGGGGAACGAGAGAGGGAACTCGCTAGGGAAGTCCTCTTCGTCTGCAGCCATCATGAGCTCAGCGATCTCGCTGGCTTCCATCTGTTCTGAAGAACCATCATTGTTGGAGATGTTAAGTCTCGACAACGCATCAGCGACGATGTTGTGTTCGCCCTTGATGTACCGTAGTTCAGGGCCGTATTCTTCCAGAATAAGGCGCCATCGCATTACGCGATCGGTATTGAAGTTCTTACATGTAAGATTCTTGTGGTCCGTATGTACAACAATCTTCTGTCCTAGAAGAATGTTACGGAACTCTTTCAGAGTTTCTACGATACTGAGAAGTTCCTTCTCGGTAACGGTGTAGCGTGTCTGAGCAGGGTTGAGCTTCCTGCTGTAGAACGCGATAGGTTTTCCCTTCTGGGAAATTACTGCACCTAGTTGAGTATCACTCGCATCCGTGTGGATAACGAATGTATCGTTGAAGTCAGGGTAAGCGAGCAAGGTTTCTTTGCTGATGATCTTCTTCATCTGGCTAAAGGCCTTGTCGTGTTCGGCTTCCCATTTCCACTTCGTTGTTTTGGAAGTCAACGAAGCGAGTGGAGCCAGTACATGTGATCGTCTAATCCACATGTCTCGATAGTAGTTCACTAGTCCAATGAATCTACGGAGTTCTTTTCTGTTAGTAGGAGGAGCGATATTCTGGATCGCGTCTATTTTCTTGGTTATAGGTTGGATCCCTTCTCGAGTAATCCAGTAACCTAAGTATTCAAGTTCTCCTCTTGCGAAGAAGGACTTGGTAGCATTGATCTTAAGTCCGGCTTCTCACAATTTCAGTTCGAAGTGAACTGGAATCACCCTTTGTGCAAGCACACTGACGATACGTTTTAGTACTATTTACCCTATAGTAAATTTGCCGTTTTTGCAGCCACCCAAGCCAAAAAGAGCCACCATGGCGACTTGCGGTCCCTTTCGGAAGAAAACGACGGTAGCTACCATTAAAAAGACATTGGCAATGGAATCTAACAACACCAGTCGCGACCGACAGCAACTGGCCGCTGAGAAATCGAGTGACAACCCATCGAAATGGGTGCAAACGACCAGTAAACCCAACAAGTTCATGGCTGGAAATGACTGCAAAGAATTCCATCAAAATGATGAAGATGACGGATTTCGATGCATCACTCGGGGCCGGAAGACAACATCATACGTTCAGGCAACCTTCGTCGTGTCTACCCAGACTCATCAAAGCACGCAACGAAATCCTTTCTCCAGTCTAGCTCAAGAAGATGATTTGTGGCTACTTCAATATCAAGAAAATCACCGCCCTACTACTAAGGACGATGATGACTCGTCCGTCAGCACAATCGGAACAACTGGAAGTGCCTCGATGATAGCAACAGCAACCAACACTCCGACGCGAACCAATGCGACCAACCAAACAGTACCAGTAGTTCAATCAAATCGACGCAATTCATCTCAAATCAGCAAAAACAGAGTCAGTAACTCCAAGAAGCGTTCTGGAAAAATTGACCCACAACCATTACCAATGCCACCGGTACTTGTTACGACAACCCTCTCTCCAGTGATATGGGAACAATCAAGCAAAACACAACAAGCTAGGCACAAGCGGCATCAACGGAAGGCGAAGAAATTGTTAGGTCATGGAGAAACAAACAAATCAAAATCCATTCATGTCAACTCCATTAATGTCAACTTGGCAGATAACAAAACGTGGCCAAAGCTCCAATCTAGGTCGTCGGCGCCTACCAATAACTCTGTACAATCCCGAATTAGCGTCTCCAGTGGACAACAAGAAGGGCCAACACAGATCAACCATGGCAGACAATCCGTTGATACAAAGTGGCAGAAGCTTCCTACCGAACGTATGAAATCACAGTACAAGTCCACAATAAGTAATACGCTTTAGCAACGTTTTCGTGAGGCGACAACGGGCACTGCTGAGTTGATATCATCAATGTCTTCTACCAAATCGGAAACAATACACTCCTCGACAAAGCAATGTCAGTCGCAATTCCTTGAGGCGGCGACAAGACATGTCACTAAACAGAGCACCGCAAAAGGCTGCACTAGTCATCGAATGAACCTACAGTTGTGCCATCCTTCTTCTACTCTCATGGTGACTACCTCCTACAAGAGGAAATCCAAATTTCGACTAAAGCAGTCAATCCATCAATTCATCAATGATCGAAAACAACAAACGTCCACTGTCCACGGCGCCACTAGTACAACGGAGGATCAGCAACAACTGGCAACAACGGTGGACCATATATCGCCTCCTGCGACGAACAACGACACGGAGACCGCACTCGGCA